GGGGGGGGGGGGATGAAGCGGGGGAGGGGAGGGGAGGGGCGGGGAAAGGCGGATAAAGGCGGAGGAGCTGCCGGATGGAGTTAGGAGCTGGGGGGGAGGGAATATGGCGGTAGGGGGGAGGAGCTGCTGGTTGCTGCTGGGGTTCGATCTGAGAAAACCCATGGAATGGAGGAGGGGTGGTACGGGCGCTGGAGGACTTCCGGGGACGAGGTCCTAAACCCCCGAGTGCGGCAATGTGCGAAGGGCATGTTGGCAAAAACTAAGGTAGTAGAAATGAGTGGAAAAATGAGGTGACCCCGTAAGGCCGGCAAGTCGCTGCTTCGGGGTTGAGGCGCCCTGGGCCCTACGGCAGACGCCACAGCTGGATCTGCAACATGCATGCGGTGCGTGGTGTGCAGCTCTCAGCGATAGCACCGGCGCTGCCAGCTACGATCTCGACCTACTCCTGACGGTGCATGTGGTTGCAGGGTCGGCGTGCAGCTTTTGTTGCCTTTAGTGGCCTTGCATTACTGATTACCTTCATGCACTACCGCATGCCTCCCGCGCACCCCCTTTTCCCTTTCTGCTTCGCGCAAAACTGTGGTTAATCTTTTCCCCTTTTCCCTTATTAACCGCACACATATACACATATACACATACAAACGCACACATGCCGTACCTGTGTGTGTTTGTGTGTGTGTTTTGTGCAGTTGTTCGGCGGCCCTCAGCTCACAGGTCCGCTGCTGCGGATGCGCGTCCACACCTGGCTACTGCTGGCGGCCATGCTGGCAACACACGGTGGGAGCGTGTGTGTGTGTGTGGGGGGGGGAAAGACGACATGTGTGTGTGTTTCAGAGCGTGTGTGTTATGTTGCGTGTTGATATGTAAGACCACCCCAACCCCCCACCGGCCACCTACCCGAACAAGCCGTCGCCGATTCCCGATTCCGCATCTTTCATTTTTTTTACCCTTCCGGCTGACAATAAGCATGTTAAACACTGAATAGCCCCTCCTTCTAAGTATTAATAATCAAATTGCGTGAGGGGCCAACCTGGGGCCACGCATGGTGCGGTATTGGGGCTTGGGGCAGCTGTGCCGTGTTTCTCACTCTCCCTGAGATAAAAACCTGGCCTGAGCTTATTAGACAGTAGGCCCGTTGTTGGGGATTTGGGTATGGTGGGTGGTGGATCCAGGCTCTCAGCTCATCTCATCCCCCCTAGAGCTCCTCGGGTTTGGGGCCCATTACATAACCCCCACCCCCCTTCAACCCCTGATCACCGTTAGTCCTTTGTTGATGTCCTCTCTCTGTCTCTGCCTCTCTCGCGTTCCTCCCCGGGCCCCCCGCAAACACACTCTCGCTCTTCGGATGTCCGGCCCTTGACGTTCAGTGGTTATGTACGTCATCCTCATCGGCATCATCGACCGCCAGTTTGCGTGAGTGTGGTGCGGAGTGTGTGTGTGTGGGGTGGGGGTGGGGGTGGGGG